ATGTATTCTTACTATATGTACCTTCTCTGAATTTTACTAAATGTGACCTGACAAGCTTTTAATTTGCAATGACTAATTTTTAAACGGCCATATACTTCTATATGAATCCAAATGGTAATAGTAATAATAATAATAACAATATTTTCTGGGGCATGTAGACACCAGTGTTAATTTAACTTTTCTACTTGACAATATTGGACTCAATGTACAGGTGAACCGGGAGGACAGATTTTATCTCTAATATTGATCAATATTCCTGTGACCACATGCAAATTACCTAATCTTTGAGGTTGTATCCCTTAACTTATAGAATGCAGAAAGCAATGCTTCCTGTCTACCAGCCTCAAAAGTGGAGTGAGAGGGAAAAATAAAGGTCACTATGCTATTACTTGAGGGACATTTTCTGATAATTCTGGATGCAGTAAAGAGTGTGAGCAGGTAGGGAAGAGACCTCCTCTGTATCTATGCTAAATAAAGCCTGGGGAGGATCATAAAAAGAACATCCACATTTTGAATCCAAGTATCACACAAGACAGTTAAATCAGTATAGCAGTAGAACCACCTAAGTAGGTAAAGGAGACATTGTGAAGAGAGTATAGCATTATAATAAGAGCATAGATTTGGAGTCAGATAGACCTGGCTTAATTCCCAGGTCTGCCATTTATTGCCTTTGGGCAAATAATGGTACCTGTGAATCTCAGTTTCCTCATATGTAAAATGGGTATAATACTATAACCATACTCTAAAGATTAAATGTGCATGATATTTTAGAAAAGTAGTTGGAACATAGTACATGTGAAACAAATGATGACAATTACTTTTTTTCTGCACTGACTCATAGTTTGACTTTAAACAAAGTGCTAACTCTTTTCATAGCTTTTGCAGCTTCAAAAAAAAAAAAAGATAGCATCTGACAACTTGAGATGAAAAGTTGCAAGATAGCATTTAATGATGACTGTATGGTGCTTTGAATTCCCCGAAGCTTAGTTCTACCACATCAGAGTTAGTATTCTAAAAATCTCAGAAATTGCCCAACTATGCAGGTGATACATATGCCTGGGAGAAGATTGTGCTTGCCGGTTCTGGCATGACTTGGTGTCTCTGCAGCCTGTTTTTCTTTCTCAACCTCTTAAAACTTTCTTAATCTCAAATCCACTCATTTCTAAGCCTATTAAATTGTGCTGGAAATTGAGAGCATTCATCACAGTTCTCATTCACCATCTTCGCTGAAAATATGTCCAAGGAAGTATGCTTTGAGAAGTTTTTAGTCGAGTTCTAAATCCTAACCCTGACAAAGCCAAGAAATGCAGCCAGAGTACCCATTTCAGCACTGACCATCTTGGAAGACCTGCTCCACATCGCCCAACTCACCTCATTCCCAAGCACTAACGTTTCAGGCACTACAAACCCTATGAACCTCTGCTGATATTGAAGCACGTATTGGGCAAATAATATTGCTTCTTCTTCTTGAATGTTTCTATTTATTCCCTCTTTATAGTGGCACAATGACATATTTTTGGAGGAAAGCAGACAGCAATGAAAGAATAACAAAGGTCTATTACGCAGTTATAGTTACTATAGACTGATGAATTCCTTCCATGAAATGCTGCACTAAGATGAACTTGATTTTCACACAGTAGCAAATGTAATTATTTTTATAAAATCGGGATGATGTAATTGAAGTGCTATACTCTCAGTCACTGATCGCCTTTGAGACAGGGTGAGAGAGTTAGGTCATGTTCTTATGTAAATAAAAAGACAGTTTGAAGAATATTAAATAAGGGCAGTTCACGCACTCTTTAAAATGTTTTTAAACCCTTCCTTCTTAAGCATATATGTGCATTGTTTCACATTAATCTGTACATGATCTGTTTCTTTGCCTATACATTGTATAGGCATGTATGGGTATACCTACACATACATTTTCTCCATGTATGAATCTGCATGTGTGCATGTTTTCCATTTCCCTGTTAGACTGCAAACTTTCCAACTACTCTTTTTTTAGGTCCCCACCGCTGAAATACAATGTGTTACAATAGAAAAGTGTAGACTTTAGAACCAGAAAGTCCAAGGTCAGGTTCTAGATTCAACACTTAACTGACTCTGGACAATCTGAGCTGCTGTTATTTCATCTTTGAAAATAGTGACCAACAATAACTGCTTCTCAACGTATTGTCCAAATTAATTGAGGTACCATTTTACAAGGTGTATAACACATAATAGATGCTCAACAGATAGTTTCTTCCACGCAAAACTGGGTACACAATGAGAACTTACTACAACCTGTTACGTGGACCAGGACTGATCTTAGCTGAAGGAGAAGTGAGGCCCAGTGTTAACCACTTAGAGCACAATCCTATAGCAACCTTGGACCGAACTCTCAATAGAGTGGCCCTTCAGCATCACTATCTATTGACTAATTTCAGGGGGGAATATTACTAGATGAGTTTTATGTCAAGGTTTTCCCTGTAAACAAACAGATTTTTAATCCGAAAATGACCACCCTCTCTGTTTGACACAAACTACCCAAATAATGTCAGTAGCTTCTCTTCAGTTTCCCATGTCTCCTTAAATTATCTTCTCCTGCTTAATCATCACTAGGTTGCATAAATGAGTGCTCTTTTCCCTAGAAGGGAAAGGTGACTAGGGAAATAGCACCTCCCATTATGATATAATTATACCAATTTAAATTTTAAAAAAGGGCTACCTCTTTAAAAGATGACCGATTTCATTTCTGCCTTAATTTCTCTATATCTTACCATCTCCTTTCTTTTTTTTATGACTTTACACTCTATCAATTCTTCTCAGACTTTCAGTACAAATAAGAATTACCTAATGTAACTTCTAAAAAAATACATTTCCCATGCCTCAACCAGAGATTTGTTAGAATTTATGAAATGAGAACTGGATGTTTCTATTTTTAATAAGTATCCAGTGAATCGAATGCAGGAAGTTCATGGGCCACACACTGAGAGACAGTCATATCCCACTGAGTAAAAATTAAAGTTATCCATGATGCTTAATTTAAATATGACTCATTTCACCTTCATCTATTTAAATGTGTGTAAATATTAATGTTTATAAAGTTCGTCTGCTGACCTGTAATTCTTATCAGTGGTTGCTGGTGAATACAGTCAGCATGCATCCCCATCATCAGTATATATACAGGGGCGGGCAAAAAGTTGGTTTACAGTTGCTCATATGGAAAATAATACAATAATTAATAAATAATACTATACGAATAAACTTTCATGTACTCATAACTGTAAACCTACTTTTGCCCATTCCTGTATTAATAAGTAGATTCTTCTCTACCCAAATCTCTTCCTTATAAACTTATTCTTGATAAAGTTTTCTTTAACTTTCTGCTATGGGTGTTTGCTCATAAAATTCACAAGTTCTCTTCATGCTCAAAAAACAGTATAAAATAAGAATTTGGGGGAAACAGCAGCATAAAAAGAATGTTTACATGGTCTAAATTTCTTCTTACCTTTAAATTCAAAAATAGTGATTCTCATTAGAACAAGTAGAGTGGAGGGGGGAGCTATCAGAAATTTGACTAAAGAGGAACGTGCCATTTAATAAAATGCTCCATCTGTTTCTTATATGACTTCCCAGTTATGAATCAATGTTCTTAAAGAGAAATTGCCTACACATATCCTAGTATTTCAATCATATTTCTTTCATGCAAGCATTGCTGTTGGTACACTTACTCCAGCAAACGTGCATAGTAAATTTAATCCCTTCTCACTCTCGTCTAGTCTCTTAACATTACCAAGGTCAACTCAAACATGATACACTTCATTTTTTAGATCAGGATGGTATTTTGTTCACCTTTCTTTTTTTTCCCTTGAGATGTACCTCCATCTCCTCTGAGGCAGGACTTAAATAGGTACATTTTTTGCTTCAAATTAGAGACTATACATAGAAAAGTTCACTCTAATACAACCACCCTCCCCCCCCCCCAGCTCCTCTACACAAATTCCAGGCTCACTCACACCCAACATAGAACAAACCTCAAATCTATTGGATAGCTTGAGTTTGATAGAGATTCTAACTTTAAATAAAACACTCTTTTATATGGTAATATTCTTAAAGACAATGCAGGCAAAAGGTGTAGGACATAAAACCATCAAGGACTATAGAGAAGTACTTGCAAAGGCAGGAAGTCTTGAAAAATCTGACTAAATCTGTAGTGTCTTTAGCTCTTAGTTTCTCCATGAACATGTATAGAAGAGTATTAAACTTCTCATGACAAGTATGTAGAACTCTCTATCAGTGACAGAGCCCTCTTCTCAAAGTAGAAATCAATCTCAATAAAAGATATACCAATACATCAACCAGAAAAAATAAAATTTTAATCTAAAGACAAAATTATTTTTAGAGTCCAGATTTTTTACACTGAAACCTGGATAATGTTTCATTTCTATCTTTGAAAGAAAACAACCCCAAAATAATTATGATTTATCCATTAGAGAAGTTGATTGGGGGCAGGTACATCGTTAGATTTATTTTTTAAATCCAGCTATAATAGTCTAGTCATAATGTCTTTTTAAATTATTTCTCACTCTTTTAAGACATGTATAATTTTTTAAAGTTAAACTATTTACTTAGATAGATAAAGGTAATTTGGATCTGCATGATTTTCTCAATAAGACAAAGCTAAAGCATGTTCTTTTAGCCCAAGCTAAAAATGTGTTCTTTTCTTCAAACAAACAAACCAAACAACTAAAAGACAGCTGTTCATGCAGTATGTACCTTTATCTGTTGTTGAACTCTTCTGAAAGTATGTAGAAAAACATTTTTGGATAGGACACTAGAGAATAAGAAAACCAAATACAGAAAGAATAGAAATCTATTTCTTGATGTCATTTCATTTAAATATAAAAAGTATTTTTCAATGTTAAGCAAAATAAACGAGAGATCTATATATTTCTTGGTTTCTTTTATGTCTCATTTTAAACTACAAGCTAACTTAAGACAAAAAAAAAGGAACTCACGGATGCATTTCTGACCAGCAAGGAAGAGTCCTGTGGAGACCGAGGTCTGTAGTCAAGTGTATGCATCCAGGCTCTACCAGCAACTTCCTGGGCTGGATGAGGTGAAGAAAGAAATCACTGATGATCTAAACAAAACCAGTCTGACAGGTCATGGCTAGTATGATGGGAACTGTTTGTGTAATAGTAGGACAAAGTCAGATGTTATAGGGAGCTAGAGAACATAAATAATTTATAAGTACTTTCTAGGAGTGGAAATTTAAAAACTATTGTCTTAGGACTCTAACTTAAAAGTGTTAACATAAATCTGAATATTTCAAAAAGTCAGATGTTTAACTCTAGAAAGAAATTCTAAAACCATCTTGCTCAGCCTCTTCATGTTTCCAATGAAGAAACTGAGGTTTAAGTTGAATGACTTGGTCAAAATCACATAGTTTATGAGCCACCAAACCAGGATGAATGCTCATTTTTTGATGCTTGTTTTAACTAGTCTGACATGCTTGCCACTCTACCATGCATATAATGAAAGTTTTCCTTTGGTATTGACTGTAATCAATCATTGAAAATTATAGTAGAGATTAGAAAATTATGTGTCATAATAATACTGCTGTAATTTACCCAGTAATTAATTAATTAACAGGAAAGGAGCAAAGGGAAGGCCAGATAATATAAGCATGCCTTTTGTACAGCTGTGCCAGAAAACTGCTGCTTAGCACTCTCCAGATCTGGGGGCAGATCCTGGGGGAAGGGACTGGACAAAAAAGAATAGACACAGCCCTAACCGGTTTGGCTCAGTGGATAGAGCGTAGCTCTGCGGACTGAAAGGTCCCAGGTTCGATTCCGGTCAAGGGCATGTACCTTGGTTGGATGCACATCACCAGTAGGGTGTGTGCAGGAAGCAGCTGATCGATGTTTCTAACTCTCTATCCCTCTCCCTTCCTCTCTGTAAAAAGTCAATAAAATATATTTTTTTAAAAAAAGAATAGACACATATTCAGTAAGGTCTGAATGGTATGGGAAAGGCAATTGTTTGTCATTCACACCTGGGAGCAGGGCAAAGGCCAGAATAGGCATGGCCACTACAAGCGCACAAAATCTGAGATACATAAACTCCTGAACAAAGGGAGTTCCCTCTCTTGAGCTTCAGCTCTCTTGTTGCAAGGGGTGCCCTCCTCTGCACTTGCCCCATGGTACACAGCCATGTGGACTCCCCACACGCAATGGACTGATGGACTAAAATTAGACTGATGCTGTGCTAGACTCAACTCCACCATGGAATGGAACTTTGGACATTGGCTTTGCTTTTTTTTAAAAAAAAATATCTTTATTGATTAAGGTATTACATATGTGTCCTTATCCTCCCATAACCCGCCCCCCCCCCAACCCCTCACTCATGCCCTCACCCCCCTGTTGTCTGTGTCCATTGGTTAGGATTATATGCATGCATACAAGTCCTTTGGTTGAGCTCTCCCCCTGACCCCCACCCTCCCCTACCTTCCCTCTGAGGTTTGATGGTCTGATTGATGCTTCTCTGTCTCTGGATCTGTTTTTGTTCACCAGCTTATGTTGTTCATTATATTCCATAAATGAGTGAGATCATGTGATATTTATCTTTCTCTGACTGACTTATTTCACTTATCATAATGCTCTCAAGTTCCATCCATGTTGTTGCAAATGGTAAGAATTCCTCCTTTTTTACTGCAGTATAGTATTCCATTGTGTAGATGCACCATAGTTTTTTAATACGCTCATCTACTGATGAGCACTTAGGCTGTTTCCAAATCTTACCTATGATGAATTGTGCTGCTATGAACATAGGGGTGCATATATCCTTTTTGATTGGTGTTTCTAGCTTCTTGGGATATATTCCTAGAAGTGGGATCACTGAGTCAAATGGGAATCCCATTTTTAGTTTTCTGAGGAGACTCCATACTGTTTTCCACAGTGGCTGTACCAGTCTGCATTCCCACCAGCAGTGCACGAGGGTTCCTTTTTCTCCTCATCCTCGCCAGCACATGTCGTTTGTTGAATTGTTGATGATAGTTATTCTGACAGGTGTGAGATGATACGGCATTGTCGTTTTGATTTGCATCTCTCAGATGATTAGTGACTTTGAGCATGTTTTCATATGTCTCTTGGCCTTCCTTCTGTCTTCTTTCAAAAAGTGTCTATTTAGGTCCTTTGCCCATTTTTTGATTGGGTTGTTTATCTTTCTTTTGTTAAGTTGTATGAGTTCCCTGTAAATGTTGAAGATTAAACCCTTATCAGTGATAACATTGGCAAATATGTTCTCGCATGCAGTGGGCTTTCTTGTTGTTTTGTTGATCGTTTCTTTTGCTGTGCAGAAGCTTTTGGTTTTGATGTAGTCCCATTTGTTTATTTTCTCCTTAGTTTCCATTGCCCTAGGAGCTGTATCGGTGAAAAAATTGCTTCGGTATATGTCTGAGAGAAAGCTTTGCTTTTAGTTCTACTAAAGCAGCAGTTCTCAACCTGTAGGTCGAGACCCCTTTGGGGGTCGAACGACCCTTTCACAGGGGTTGCCTAAATACATCCTGCATATCAGATATTTACATTATGATTCATAACAGTAGCAAAATTACAGTTATGAAGTAGCAATGAAAATAATTTTATGGTTGGGCGTCACCACAACATGAGGAACTGTATTAAAGGGTCGGGGCGTTAGGAAGGTTGAGAACCACTGTAAAGACCCAGCTCTGCATTTTCCAGGCCTGATACAAGGGAAATGGGACTTTGGGAGCCAAAGGATATGACTTCATGAAAATAAAGCTTTCTACTACATCTCATCCTCCCATGGGGGCCTCCAGAAATTCTTATTCCTGTGGTACTCCAAGAACCCCACTCCCACTAGCAACAGAGAAATTCCACCTGTGCAATTCTCCAATAGCAATAGTTTCTCTAGAAAAGTTAAGTCGTTTACAAATATTAACCCCCAATTGAGACAGTATATTTCTTTCATTATGCTAGAGACAAGCATATGAGCCAACACTGAATCATTACTGTCTCATTCCTAAAAAGTGAATAACATATTTTTGAATATGTTCAGCCCCAGCCGGTGTTGCTTAATGGTTAGAGTATCAGCCCATGCAACGAAGGGTCATTGGTTCCATTCCCGGTTAAGGATATGTACCTGGGTTGCAGGTTTGATCCCCAGCCCCACCAGGGCTTATTCAGGAAGCAACTAATTGATGTGTTTCTCTCATATCGATATTTCTCACTTTCTCTCTCTCCCCGACCCTTTCTCCCTTCCACGATCTCTAAAAATCAATGGAAAAAATATCCTTGAGTGAGGATTAACAAACAAAAATGTGTTCACACATGTGTATGCAAAACTCTGTGTATTTGTGTCACGTATAATCTTTAAATTGCCTTCCCTAATCCCAATAAAGTAGATGAGGTGTTTCTCCTCTGTGCTCTCATGGCATCATAACACTTACCATATTACACTAGAATTTTCTGAGTTCTTGTATCTCAACTCCACTAGACTGAATTCTTTTTTTTTTTTTTAATATATTTTATTGATTTTTTACAGAGAGGAAGGGAGAGAGATAGAGAGTTAGAAACATCGATGAGAGAGAAACATCGATCAGCTGCCTCCTGCACATCCCCCACTGGGGAAGTGCCCACAACCCAGGTACATGCCCTTGACCGGAATCGAACCTGGGACCTTTCAGTCCACAGGCCGACACTCTATCCACTGAGCCAAACCGGTTTCGGCTAGACTGAATTCTTAAAAGACATAAACCTATTCATAAATCATATGGCTCTCAACTTATGTGTGAAAAGAAGGGAGAGAAGGAAAGCATAAGGAGCTATGTGTAACTAATCTTAAAAATCACCATAAAGAAAGCAAATAGTTTCTGTTTAATGTTTCTATGCATCCATTGATCCAATGGCTCATCTGAACAGATATAGAAGTTGGAATCCACAGTGCAGTGTGGGCTTAGGCTGCCAAGAATTGAATCACTCTTTAGCAGTAACTCCCAAAAAAGCCTCTATGTTGGGGCACACTGTACTCGGGACTAGGGAGAGCATGGCAACCACCCTTTGTTTCTGGCCAATAGATGACAATGCTGTAGAATAATATTATATGAACTTGGAGTTAACTACTATGTAGTATCAGTTTTCTGTCTACTCACTTGAAAGAGCAATTTAGCCAAAAATAAAAAGGTAACAATAATGAAGTAAAATGTTGTGAGATTAAACTGTTCTTATTATACAGCCTTTAAAAAGTGAAATTCTCACTAATGAAATGTTAACCTGGTTGAATAATACCATATATTATTTTATACTCATGTTTTATGAAAATATTGATTATACTCTTGCTTTTGAAGAAAAACAGAGTCTTCCTCAGTATAACTGTGGGCCAAGATTTGTCAAACTCATTTTAACAGAATCTCATGACTTTTTTTTTAAACTAAAATCCAGATTCCAAACTCAAATAAATCTTTTTATATGGTCCTATGGTCCTGTATACTTAGGATTATGTATTCCTAATGATGAATTGTTTAAAACCCTATGAATATAAACTAGAATTTATAGAAAACCAGAGATTAAGGCTATGTAAATTGAAGATAAGTGTATTTCAGCCTAATGATATCAAAAGATAACCATAAGAACATGCTTCCTATGTTAATATCTTTCATTCAGGCTACTCAGAGACCATTAACAGCGTGTGCCATAAAATTTCATTATATTACTTACACTTTAGTAGATTTTTGAAGAATGACAGGGAAAGAAGGAGGAATGAAACACTGAACTCTATCAAATGGAGTATTTCATGAACTTAGGCTTTCCTTTGATAGTGATTCTTAGAGTTGTAGGATAAAAAACACAGTCAATCATTGTTTGAATTAATTGATCTCTAAGAGAAAAAAATAAAAGGCTCTTAGAACAAAAGTTTATCTTTCATTCAATTATTTATTTACTGTGTTGCTGTTTTTCAGGAATCATAAATTGAATTCTGTAATCCTTTTGCCCTAAATTATGGTGTGAAGAAAATGTGTTCAAAGATGTTTCCCCCTCTTCGTGTCTGAGATCAGGGCAGTCTGTCTTCCTGT